AAATGGAAATGGGCGACGAGACTGCAGTTTTTCTCATCTATCATTGCCTCCCCTTCCGTTGGCTTCTCCTTGGGTTCGCCTTCATGTGCGCCGGTACTTTTTCTGTTTCATCATGTGTCGTGATTTGCCTATTGTGATATCAGAATTTCCCCTTCTCTTCTACTGCCACTACTAATCGAGTTCTGCGAATTACAGTTATCGGCTCAACTATAACCCTTCCTCGTAACCTAAACAAGAAGTGAAAATCTCTGGTTTCTGCTTTGACCGGATTTTGCCTTTTTTTCACTCCCACCTCCCCATTCCGTGAATGATCCTTCGTCTCTCTCTCTCTCTCTTCTTTCATTGCCGTTATTTCTGCTCCGGCCCTCCCCAGGCAGTTGAGAAACTAGCAAGGGGAGTGTTTTGAAATGAGGGCGGGTGATTCTGTCTGATCTTCTTCCCCTCCTGCCTCCGAAACTCGCTCGCTCGCCTCCCCCTGCCTCGCTGCCAAGCCGTCATAATTGCTCGTGCTTTCCAGCAAAGACTGTCCTAATTTATTCAGACCCTCTCGAAGTCGCATCTGCAGCCAATGCATCCGCCCCACCCCCACTCTTCTTCGATCCACTGGCACCCTCAGCCTCCCCCATAGCCTGACAGGTGTTTCTCTGTTCGATCCACCTCCGTCCCCCTTCCCGCTCCACCTCTTTCTGCTTAGCTGAATTTACACGGACTCTAATGCCTTCTGTGTTTTGACGACTGGTCACACTGGAGAATTAACCTGTGAGGAAATTAGTATACTTATCAAACGTTTCTAGAAAGTCCTGTGTGTTCTCCTTCTCTCACAGTTTACAGGACTTTTAATTTGGAATTTTAAGCGGCTTGCACGGGGGACGGGTAGACGATTTTGGAGGGCATCGAAGCTGGTAACGCCGCTGCTTCTGGACGGGACAGCCTTTGTTGACACAGTTATACCTCTTAAACCTCTGAACGCCTAGGCTGCCTCGGCAGGGCGCACAAGGTGTAGGACTGGCATTTGTACCCCTCGTGGTTTGCAGATTTCAAAAACTGCGACGGAATTGTCAACTTCTGTCGCAATGTTCCTACTCTTGTATACCAGCGGACGACTGGCCTCCAAACAGAGTGTTTATCTTGGACTTCACTAACGGTTTTTTTATCGCTGTCATCGTGACCATCATAACTACTTACGTTGCACGCTTTGTCTGCGGAGGGATAGAGATGCGTGTCCGGGTCGTAGAGGCTTCCGTTGAAGCTGTGTCAGCCTCACGCACGTCGTCCCCAGCCAAAGGTATAAATGTAGGACTGAGAGAGGTTTAAATCTCTCCATGTTTCTATTAGTTTGCGGTAATGTGTTAGGTATTGCTAGAAGGATCCCTAGATGCATATCCCGCTGTCAGAGACATAAGCGCCGAGTATTTTTGCAAGGGCCACTATCGATAGACCTATTCCCTGAAACGTTAGGTTCCAACACAGTCACTGGAAGCCCTGGGTACCTTTGCTTCGCGGAATAATCGTACAACCAATGCTTTACACGAAAGGTTTTTGTGATTGGCGACCATCGAATCGATTCTAAACGTCTGCTCAAATTATAATGGAAGTTTTTTGGCAAAAGCCGAAACACCAAATGATTTATATCCTTGTTGGTCTGAAGCGAACACCTTTCTGATTTTTTCTTTAAAAAAGAGTATGTGACACCTTAGCTGAGCCTCCTCGGAAAGGCGACTGTTGACTCCAGCACAATGACCGGAGAGTTATAATAGTCAGTGTAACCTTTCTGTGGAACTTTTTTCCGAAGAAGTTACTGTATGCGAATTAGTCTACGGATGATACTCGCGTGGGACCTCGCGTGCAACGCGGCCCACAAGCAAGTGCAGAACAGGGTGAATGGAGATAAACTTATTAATTCGCCGGGTCTTCGCCCCGTCCACACCGGTCTCTTTGCCGACTTAAGACGGGGTTCGCTCAGCCACGTCTCCGAAAAAACCTTCATACGTCCCTTCTCGGCCTAACGCAAGAGTGCTGTCGACTTCGAGGGCTTATTACTGCCACTGCCGCCGTTGTTTAACGTGTGCCAGGCACGATTTCCCGTTTATAAACGCAGCCTACCTTTTCCTCCAAAAGAAGTGCCGCTTCCCTTCTGCTGCCTATACTGCTATGTTGCGATGACAATGGAATATAGCCAAGATAGGAAACGAACGTAAATTGCATTTGTGTAATTAATTACCATGCTTACAGCACAGTTACTAATTAACTGCCCAGGCACGTGTATTTCGCCCATCCTGTGCCGCTGTATGACGCAGTTGTGAGGGGTTAGGCTCTTCAGTGGGTTACCCAAAGCTTCTTCCTGTGATGTCAGTAAGTTTGTTAACCATCGCTCGAACCGATTACCTTCGACATTTAAACGAAAAATTTGCAACTGTCTTTTTTGTCTGATCCATGTTACTGTTTTCGCATGCACGGAAACTCTATCTTCTGTCTTCGCAAACCCAGTTATATCTGCTATGGTTCGCATACTAGAGATCTTACCAGATAGCAGACAGCCGTAAATCAAATTGCTTCTTGCTTGAGCGAATCACGCAGTAGAGATTAGGTAGCTATCAGAGTATTTGAGTATGCCAGGCACCTTTTCGGGGTGGGTCTACCATCAGTAAGAAGTTGCTGCCAACGTTTTAACTTCTTTTAATACAGACATCGTGTCAGATTATTGCACGTTTGCAGCCTATTGAGTTTTGTCTTTATCTACTCCTGGAAAACCTGGAATGTTGTGCTAGTCACGGCTGTCATACAATACAGAATCTTCGTGTAGTCTTGTAATTTCCTAAACAGGTTTGAAGAGGACCATCTTTCACCACTGATGTAGCTTGTGAGATCTTTCGTGATGAAGGGTTTCGTCGAGATTGCTTATATGGCCCCTACCTCCGACAAAACACGGGAATAGGAACGGCTATCGCAGGGGGTTAAGTAAGTTAAACCCAGGCAACTGCGAATTTCAGACCATGGTTACCTAGTAGAGAAGAAGTCGCTTGAGGCCAGAATAATAAAGTCATCGGTCTTTCTGAACGATATTCAAGCTCCGTGCTCGCGAAATTCTTAAGTCTTAGGACTAGCGACTTGTTAGAAAGTATTTTCATTTGCCTCTCTACGCCTAACATTTTCGTCTTTCCCGATGCGTGAATATTTGTTGTGAATATCTTGGAGGAAACAAAACGCCGTAGTCCAGTTTATTCAACTGCTGAAGGTTTTCATTAGGTACGTGGTCGGTCGTTACCCTGGAGGAGGCTAACCCCACTTCGGGTTATCAATTTTCAGTTCAGGCTGCGTGACTTCTCGTGCATTTTGGCGATTTCATTTAATTCGGCCTCCACAACAATGGACTCACATGGCTATTTGAATTTGGAGCTTGTTTCACTGCGCCGCGTTAGAGTAACCCTTGCCGAATAGATTAAATGGTTTATTTTGCACGCTTGTTGAGCCCAATGCTCGAGATTTTTCCATTGCTGGCTTGGGAACGTTTGAAGTCCTTCGCTTTAGATCGATTTTTTCACGCGTCTCATTAAATAGGTGTTCTTAATTAGTCATCGTCAACGTTAGAGGACTCCTGCAGGCGACGCCCAACATTGCTGTGTCCGGCCTCCCTGTAAAAGGCCAACTGTTTCAATATCATCCACAATCGCAGTGAGTGCTTTCAGACTCGCTGACCTGCAGACTCCTAACCGACTTCCATTCGGCCAATCAGATACGTCCATATAGGCGTGGCTACCCAAGCGCCCCTTGAACAAGCCTCTTGCTCCCCGGCCGATACAGCATATGCCACCAGACACGAAACCTCTCCGGTAGTACCACATGCACCAACTGGAGAACGCTGAACCTGTTCTGCAATCCTACTAAAGCAGCTGTCACTGACAGTTCGACCGTCGATTTCGATGATTTCCACCGTATGCTCCAGAACAAGGTGGTGCAGGGACGGTGATTGCGCGTGAATTAGTTGTAATTGATCTGCCGCACTCTCTGTTCCCCGACCCGCCTGGGCCCGGTGTCAAGACACAGTCA